GGGAAATTTTCCAGGAATTTTCCCAAACTCTAATTCCCAGGGAAAACAGAAGTTTTGCTAAACATGATAAATCTGACAATATTAAGTGGCATTTTGGGTAATACATTAAATATGGCAACCTTTTTACTTTCTTTGCACTTCAAACACATGCAATGAACAAGTTCAGACTTGCAATTTTTGTCTGTGCTGTAATGCTTGGTTACTGGTTTTGCCCTCAGTGTCACCCGATACACTGAAGTTAATAGGATGTAATTGTTTAATGAAAGTTTCTATTATATTTCCTTGCATTTGATGAATCTTGATATTTCTGATACTTGTGAGTAGGTATGTGTGTTCTAAAGAAGTGATATATTTTATTTATAAACATGAATGGGAGTGATTTTTAATGTTTTACCGGGAAAATTTTTTTAAAAATTTGGTTGTATTTTGATATTTGATTTTTTATTCATTTCATGAAAATATTTGTTTTAGTTTTACTTTTATCAAATTATTTTTGTCCTGAATGTCTAAATTAAAAAAAAATCGTATTTCAAATGTTTCATCGCGAATTTTCGGAGAAATGTTTCCGGTAATTTTCCCAATGCTTCTTTCCTGGGAATTTACCCATAGGCAAACGTGATTAGAAATCTTTCTATCGTAGCTGCGGATTCGACCCGCTTCCGAGAGGCGGTTCGCTGGTGATAAATTCGTACGTTTGAGTTGAAATCGTACTTAGTCTTTCTTGAAGTCGAACAAATTAGGTGCAGTCATTGAAATTTCCCTAAAATCTTGATATTTTTGATACCACAATGAATCTTCGTTGAAAGCTTGAAATCGCATTGAATTCACTGAAATGTCTTTGAAATCCGATTAAACTCTGTGAAATCATACCTACAGTCTATGAAATCTTGCCGTGATATACTTCGTTCATCTCCATATTTTGTCATGACGATTTATTTATGGCAAAAAGGCACGCAAATAGGTTTTCTTTGGATGATATTGTATTTACAATCGGAAAAATTGGAAGAATTTGCTTAGGTAGGAAACTTTTATTTTTACTATACATTCTAACCTCGTGTTCTACGTATAATAATTCATTCTTTTGCATGTTTTGCTCGTATTTATTTCCACGATAACGAACAAAAAGCATTCGTGAACTGGAGAAAATGCTTTGAACTTTGAGGATGTACGTGGAGGAACTTTATCTCTTTGAAATTAATTTCTTCAAATTTTAAAATATCGAAATTATTTACCAAGCCCATGTAAAAATATTACAGTATTTGTATTTCGATTAAAAATGAGTTTTATAAATACATTTAAACATAAAAAATTTTCATCCACGTTTAAAAAAAAATAATTAATTTTCGACTGCGTTTAAAAAAAATTAAACCAAAATTTAATTTTTTCTCAACCGAATTTATTCTGCTCTAGAATTAAATCTTGAACACTTTTTGGTATTTTTTTTATATTTCCACAAGATGAGTTTTAACATTGTGGATTAAATTTTTTGAATATCCTGCCAAACGAAAAAAAATATATATTTTTTTGATGTGAAAGAAAGTGAGAAATTCAAATATATTATGGTCAATATTTGTACATTTGTTTTTGAGTAAAAAACAAAATGCCACTTGGAAAAGAAATGAAAATAGAGAGTAAGTGTCCTCGAAAGTTGTTGAAATTAGGTATGGATTTTGTTATTCCAAAATTTTGGGAAAAAATTTATTCATGATAAAAGGGATCATTTTTCCAGAGATAATTAATATAATCAAATTCGAAATTATTTATACAAAAGATTCAAAATATGTATAGCGAATTTTCATAAAAAATTGTTTTAAAATATGACGTAATTAGATTAAATCTAATTCATGTTATTTCGACCAATACAATTTTAGATTCGTGTAATGATGATTTCTTTACAATAATTTACTTAGTAATGCGAATAATTACATAATTGTACAAATACCAAAGGTGTTGAACACTATACAAAGGAAAAATTCGGAAAAAATGTGATTTACTAGCTCTGAGAAAAGAAAACGAATTCGTTAAATAATAAATGATAATAAAATAAACATGAATGTTTTATTGTCTGTCCACTACGCAATATTTATTTGCGATATTATTCTCTCTTAATTTTTTTAACATCCGGTATAAATAATCCCGAATTTGATTATTTTCTTTAGGAAAAATGAACTTTTTCCGTTTTTTTCTAATTATCCCGTATTATGAATTTAAATTTGCCTATCATTAAATGACAATTCAGGATAAGTTAGACTTAGCAGAATATATTCTTTAGAAAAATCAATTTATAAAAAAATTTACACCTACTTTATACATATTTGTTCCATACATATTTTTCTTTTGAATTGCATAAAAAATTAAGAAATCTCCAGAGATTTCTTGAAATCTTCTCGGAAATCTCTTTGACACATAAAAATATTCAAGTGATTTCAAAAGATTTAAAGAAATTTTAAATCCTGGTATGTTTTTACATCAGCAGATCTCCCGTCAACAACACTGGCAATATCGGTGGGAAGAGTTGTATGTCCACATTATTCTGAGTATAAACCCTTAACCCCCTTCTAAACAGCTTCGGCTTGGGATTCGGGGGGGGTTGTCTAATTTCTGTGGTGGTGTTATGATTCCATCTCCCATTATGCAAAACAAACGTCTTTGGTGTAAATAGTAATAATAATTATAGTATATTATATTTTAGTTGGAAATTGTATTATGTGATTATTCATTGTTCTTCTGAACTGTTGATAATTTTACTGTAATGCTGATAAACCAACGATTAGTTGGAATAACATTCGGAACCTGGAAGGCGGAAGATTATTTCGTACACACATCTGGCACATTTGATTAACAATCATGCGGATAGTAATCGGAATATTCCAAAAATTTAAAGAACCTAAAAAATCTATAATTTTCATTCGAATAATCCCATCAGTAACGAATAATAGCAGTGACATATTTATTATAATAAGACGAATAAACTCTTTGTTCTAATTGTGCCAACAAATATCAAGAATGAGTATGGACAGGGGGCGACACTAAAATATCCTTCTTACTGCATTGATAATAGTCTTTAACATTTTATTAGGTAATAATCCATTATGCTTGTTTCAATAAATGTGTCAAAGAATTTGGATGAGTAGTATTAATGAAGAAAAAGCGAGAAAGCAATGTCGTCCTCTGACATTTTCCATGCGCATTTTTTACATTTGCTGGCTACAAATAAAACAAGAGATTATTTGTCTTGTTATAATAAATATGTCACTGATAATAGTTTGAATCCGTATCATACCGATTACGTCGGTGTGTATACTTCCATTCCAACTGCATTATGGAATAAATTGGTGTGTCGTTGCCGGTATGTGTCTTGTCGTATCGTGTCGTATACAGGGTGAGTCAATAGTGTGTTCTCCTTCGATAACCTTTGAACCGTTAGTGATACAACAATTTATTAAATACAAAAGTTTTTTGGGTCGATAAGATCTATCATTTAAAATTGTTGTGAAATCTACAGGGTGCTTAAATTTTCTGTTACACGCAAAAAATACCTTTTATTAAATGGAACACCATGTATATTTTGTCGCCATTTTATTAAATGAAAAGAGTGATATTTTGTTTTTTGGATTTGCATGCAACGTTGCCAAGTTATTTAACATTTTCTGGAAATTTAAGGATTTATAAGGGTCCGTTTAATAATTTTTATTTACATATGAAAACAAGCTGGGTAAGCAAATATACTATTCTTAGTTCATACTACACGCTAAGTATTAGTACCTTTTTTACATTATTCTATTTTACAGGGTGTCCATGACGGCATGTCAATTAATGCGAATTTCAAATGAGAAAAACTGTTTTTTTAAATGGAACACCCTATATTTTTTCCGTGGTTGGATTTTTCCTTCAAATTGCTTTCTTTTTTTGTATAACACTTCCTATACCTAACTGTTGTATTTTTGGAGATAATTAAGGTTTTCTCTTTAACCTCACAATCATATTAAAAATTAATACAATTTTATCAAGAATGGCTTTGGAAAAACAAAAATTGCGGTCAGGCGAAATTATTTTCTATAAAATCGTAAAGGAAACAGTAAAAGTAGCAAATTTATTGAACTTGAATGACAAAATTTACACCTCACCTTAGGTATGTACATAACAAAATAAAAGTGTAATTTTGAACGTAAACAATAAATAGAAGAGAAAAAATAAAACAAGTTACAAAATATGTTCAACATGACCTCCTAGTTGTAAATTACAAATTCTGACTCTATGAAGAAATGAGTCACTTACATTTTGCAACATGTTAGGCGTGATGGTGTCAAAGTCGAATTCTTTGCTGCATGTCTTCTCTTGTAGTTGGTGATGTTTTGTACACTAATCCTTTAATGTACCCCACAAAAAAAATCCAATTTTGTCAAATCTGGCGACTTGGTGGCCATTGAACTGGTCCTCCTCGACCTATCCAATTGTCACCAAATGTAACATTTAAAAAGTTTCTTACGGCAATACTATAATGGGGTGGAGCTCCGTCGTGCTGGAACCACAGCCTCTGTAAGACATTTTGAGGACACCTGTTTAACAATCCTCCCAGTACATTTTGTAAAAAATCGAGGTACATATTCCCAGTCAAGTGACCATTAAAGAAATGCGGTCCAATTACATATTCACCTACTATCCCTGCCCACACATTGAGTGACCATCGGTGTGGATTATCTACTGTTCTCGTAAAATCAGGGTTACGATATCATAGTAATGTAAGTTATGTCTATTAACACCACCATTTTTATGAAATGTGGCCTCATCAAAAAATTGCGGCTCTTGGTGATTCTTATTGAGTGTCCACTCACAAAATAATAATAATAATAATAACACGACATGTAATGACAACCCCCTTTATCCCTGAATGTCTTGAATGACATTGTGCGGGAGAGGGTTACACATTAAGAGACAACGGACATACATCCTATATCTAAGTATACTACTATTAATCTCTGTCACAAAAAAAATCCCAGTGCCACGGCCGGGAATCGAACCCGGGACCCCGAGGTTTCGAGGCAAGTACGTTACCTCTAGACCACGGAGCCATTTTATGGCTGGTATGTTACGCAATTTTCGAAATCATTTGACTCTAGTTCCTGAAACAGTTGAATATGATAAGGATGAAAGTTTTGTGTCCTCAATATTCTTGTTACAGAGGATTGACTTATATCAAGTTGTCTATTAATTTCTCTCGTACTTTTATGTGGATCTTCAACTACACTTAATGTAACTTGAAACACTTTTTCTTTATTTGTTGCTAGTTTTGTACGTTCATGTTTTTCATAATTTACATGTCCAGTTCGTTCAAACCTTTCTCGCAACCTTTCAAATGCAGAATGGTGAGGATGTCTTCATTCTAGATAACGCTGAATATAAATTCTTGATGTCAATAACGGATTTATCTCCCCTTCTCCCAATGCATAAACCATGTCGATCAACTCTTCGTGTGAAAAATTCATAATTTATTTAACAAGAATAATTAACTCAACTAGGAAATACAGAAGAATCACCACCAAGTAAAATTAATCACGTGTAAACCACAAAATATCAGTTTGACAGCACAATTTTTGTTTTTCCAAAGCCGTTCTTGATAAAATTGTATTAATTTTTACTATGATCGCAAGGTTAAAGACAAAACCTTAATTTTCGAAAACTTCAACAGAAAGCAATTTGAAGGAGGAATCCAACCATGTAAAAAAATACAAGGTGTTCCATTAAAAAAAAGAAACAGGGTTTTTCCCATTTGGAATTCGCATTAATTGACATGCCGTCATGGACACCCTGTAAAATAGACTAATGTAAAAGAGGTATTAATACTTAGCGTGTAGTATGAACTAAGAATAGTATAATATTTGCTTACCCAGCTTGTTTTCATAGGTAAATAAAAATTATTAAACGGACCCTTATAAATCCTTAAATTTCCAAAAAATGTTAAGTAACTTGGCAACGTTGCATGCAAATCCAAAAAACAAAATATCACTATATAATACAATTTTCATTTCATAAAATGGTGACAAAATATACAGGGTGTTCTATTTAAAGAAAAAAGTATTTTTTGTGCGTAACAGAAAATTTAAGCACAATAATTTTAAATGATGGATCTTATCGACCCAAAAAACTTTTGTATTTAATGAATTGGTCTCACAACGGTTCAAAGGTTATCGAAGGAGAACACACTATTGACTCACCCTGTATATCTGAATCGACCATTAAGGTCGTCAAATTATACGACAGAACACGACAAGGCGGATCGATTATTAGTTTAAATAGTCTGTGTCGTACCGATTACGTTGTTGTGGTTTTTTCCTATAATATCAGTCATCAAGATCACATAGATGTGATATACAGGTACCTCTAAAAGACATATTGATCACCATAAACTTTATTTAGCCAAATATTAACCATAATTATTTATTTGTGGCATCATACAATGTATATTTTTTAAAAAACTAACTTCTGACAAATCCTTTTGGCGCAGAGGTTTATTTATCCGTTTTTTTTAAATAATTTTATAGAACGGTGGATTAATATCCAAAGATGGTGCGAACAAACTTTAGTTAGCCAATTTGGAATCTTACGTTTTTTTCTCTTATTCTAGTCAAATGTCGCTCCTATTTGAGTAATCGTCTCTAATATTGATTATAGAATATAATAAATTATACAACTTTAGGAGCAATAATACACAAGAGTGATTACTAATTACGCTAATTACTCTTCTGTTGTATGCTTGACTCATGCAGACTAAATTAACGTGAACATTAAATATTTGAATTAAAAAAAGAAAGAATCTGATAGGGTATTTCCAATTTGTCAACTTAATTTTGCTTTTATCCATGTTAAACCTTTTCATACATATTACATATGTATCTTATCAATTAGGAAATAATTGTTGTGTAAACATAATAATTTGTATTTTGTCTATGATAATTAAATTATTTTACTTCCTCATCCCTCAGTGAATGTTATGTATTCGTTTGAAAATTTTGGAAATTTTTATTGCATTTCTGGACGAATCTCGACGAATTATGACGAAACACAAAATTTCAGACAGAAAAAATTTTCTGTCGGTGTGTCTGTCTGATTCGCGATAGCAGCTACAGTTTTTGAGATAAAGCTCTCAAATTTGGTACACACATTCTAGAGGTCAAGGAAGAGATTGAGGTCGTTGATGAGTCAAAATGTGACTTTTTTTGAAACGTCAAAAAAAAGTGACTTTTTTGAAACGTCAAAAAAATGTGACTTTTTTGAAACGTCAAAGTGACTTTTTTGAAATGTCAAAATGTGACTTTTTGAAACGTCAAAAATTACTTTTATTATAAACCCTACCACACGTCGAGTTTTACTACGGTGAGGAAGTTCTGATCCCCAAGTAATTGGCAGCGGTTTTTCTATTTATCACCAACTGCGTAATTTTTATCATTTTATTTGTGCTAAAATTGTGGTCTCAATGTTACCAGTGATAATAATTTCGAGGATAATTTATGCATAATTAGTTTATTTTACAATTACATAATCCTACACAAGTTACAACATTTAAAAAATATATATATTTTGTTTCTGACTAAAAAAATATATAATCTTTATGACATAAAGTATTAGGTAATCGTTATGGCGCCGCAGATAAATTCTATCTTCGAATATATTTTGATTAGCGGCAGAGATACAAATAATAATATATTCAATCAAAAACAACCTTGAATATAATTTAGAAGGATTTGCGATAAACAGTTTATTGTTAGTTAATTTATTCAAAATATGTTTAGAACTTTAGATAAAATTGATTTATGTTACAGATAATGCCAGATTATTAAATAATTTATTTAAAGCAAAAAACAACTTGTGTGTTTACCGATTAAAAACAGTAGAACACGGAACTATTTGATATATAAAAAAGACATTTATTTTTACGATATTTTAACCATAACTTTATTAATTATTACTGTTTGATTGTAATTTATGCTGTATTTAACTGTAATCATTTAATTATGTTTATAAATTATGTGATGTTTAAATTGTTAAGTAAATGAAAATAAAGTAATTTGAATAATTAAATGGAAAGATATTTTTCAAGTTCTAGTATTACTTATTAACCTATTTCTCCGAATAAACTGATACCAATCCAATGGCTTCCAAATCGATAATGTCTCTGCCTTACTGAGATAAATATAAACCAGAAATATACCAAAACCTCGTACAGTTTGAACTATGTATTTTGTACATTAAACCATAAGGACCGATTTGAGTGATGCATGTAAGATTGTCTTGTAACATTCAGTAACTTTGCTTTTAAAATAAATATCCATGTGAGGACAAAAGGAAAATACACTGGCTTTGTATTTTTCAGTATTATGAATGAGACAATACGAATTTTTACAGATTTCTTTTGTTTCCACACTTGTGGCACTTGTACACTATATCTTGGCGTGCACGTCATCAACAACTGCAATTAGAAAAGACGAAAAAGTAATTAGTTATATATTTCTCTATTGTTTTTTGTATGAATCTAAAGATGTTACACCTTTTCAAAATAAGAGACTCCACTGACACTGATGCTATTTGACCACGCATTACGGTCTGTTGTGATTATTTCAGCAACTTTTAAGTTGTGGTTATGACTACATGCTAAGATCAATTTAATTTTGTAGTTTCACAAGTTATGGGATTTGTTTTGCATCCTTTATTTTTTGATACTACTACTACAAATCCTTGAATTCAGGTTTTTATACAACGTTCTCATTTTAATTATAAATTGAAGTAAAGATCTCACTTCTACGAAATATTTATTAACCTGTAGCGTCTTGTTAAAATGACTTCTACTTAAATCCTTTGAGAACACAGTACACAAAAAATATCATTTACTATTTTTCATAAAATTTCCCCTTATTGAAAAGGAAGTAGGTACATGATTTTGTAATAATTTATAATAAATGTTAATAAAATTGTAAACTCGCGCCCTCTCCATTTCTATTTATTCGTGCCACAAGGCATTGGTCGTTTTCCGCTGAAGGTAGTAGTAGGGCTAGAGCATTTAGTTTTAAATTTAAAATGTATTCCACGAAATGGACTTGACATTTATATACCGGGGGGCTCAGCCTGCAATTATAGACGTAAAAATCTAACATGGCCGACTTCCTGTTTCGCTGGAATACCGTGTACAATTTTGCATATTTGGATTCTACAGATCATCCTAACCATTAAACATTATTTCGTTTATCTTTTTTTTATTTCATAGAAGGCCTACACGTTTTTCGAAATACAAGTAGTATTAGGTTTAAAAATCCGTCTGTGGGAAGACAGGTAAACTTCCTAAGTCTACATTATTTTCCAATGTTTTTAAATTATAACTAATTCTAATGCAAAAATAAACCCATAATATCTTAACGCGAAAGGATTATGAGTACATGGAGCTATCTGTCTGGAAATATAAGTACCTACCTGGATATTAATAGATGTGATGGAAACAAAAACTTACTGCCGATATAAAACAGTAGCAGTTGCATTTTTTTTATGAAGAATTTCTAGCAGTTTTGGAAAGACTTGCTGTATAAAGGTTTTTTCTGGTTTCTCTAAGTCGGACGGTTCTCCCATGGCATTGATTCCCATGGGAGTTACGCCGGCAGATTAGCTACAGCTATTCCTCACATCCCGCAGGCTTAGCGGTTGTAGATCCCAGAATCATGTGTAGACAGAGAGAACCTAAAACGAGCCTAGAATGATCGCCACCTGTTTTTGAGCAACTAGGCACTTGGTTGATTTTCGACAGGCTGGTATGGTTTTCAATCAGGAGAGCAACGTTATCCCTTCGAGTACGCCGATTATTAGAATGACCAACTTGGCCGACTAGTCTGGGAACAATAAATACTTGGAGCTCGTACTGACGATATCGCTATCTGGTCTGCTTTTCGCCCTCCTTCAAGGTGGTGTTTTTCTCGGCAGTTGCCAAAAACTCTGTGATATACATCACCTTGGGTTGATGATGGAGAAAGAGTATTTCATGATTATTGACTTGAATTCACCTGAACGAGTGCCTTAGGTGATAATAGAGCACTAGCAAT